CGATGTTAATCATCTTTAATCAACTTTAACTTTTGGATACTCTTTCATATTTACTCTTATGCACTTTTCGGCAAAAAGTGAAAGATATGTCCAGTTAACTGTTGAAGCGAACTGGACATATACCCATTTTGACGGTGTTTTCATCCTTTCCCAAGTCTTCTATGGACTTATAGCTTTGAAGTTTGATAAGAAAGTTGCCCAGAATTTTTTATTTCGAGATGCATTTGCATTCGCTCTAAAGAATATATAAATCCTCCTGTACAATTTCTTTTACAACAGGGTTCACGTTTGGCTTGCCTGAATGTTTCAAAAAAGTAATCCTAGTAGCTTTCCATATCCATATGAATTGTCAAATCGTCCTGGAAGACTGTATATAAATGAAATATAAATAGAAAGAAAAATATAAGCATAGTTATGTAGATATGGTTTGAAGAACTATCACCAAACATTTGTTTGTAATTTTCATTTTCTGTTCAGGTTTCATCACACCTTTTTATTTCCTTATAATTTTCATTGAACAACAAATGCATGGCCAACTAAGGAAATACATCACTCAATTTAGGACTGAAAAGTCCATTTAAATGTACAAAACTCGAATATAGCGTCCATACAAAAAAACAAAGTTGGTGATGGAAGTCGAAAGAAGAAATTTTGAATTGGAAATAGGACTACGCCATCTTGTAGAGGAGAATAAGCAACAAAGACACCATGCAATTTATTTTAAAATCCCATCTCAAATAAGGCCAGGAAAACATAAAAGTGATTTTAGGATAAATCTGGTATGCGAAACAAATGACTATCTGATAATTTCAAGGCCTACCTAGGAATTTCTGCTTTTTTCAAAATAACTAAGATTTGGCAGCGTCAATGAATGACGTTTTATACATTTTTGGAATCAGAATTGCAAAATCTATTCATCCAATAAGGCGTCCATAAAAAAATAAAGTTGATGCTGGAGAACAAACGACGAGATATCATATTGAAATTCTGATTATGCCTTCTTGTAGAGGCAGTTTATTTTGAAATCCTACTACAAATAAAGTCAGGAAAAAATTTAAACGATTTAGAAAAAAATCGTTTTTTTTCTGCCTCTCCGGAAGTTCTTTGAATTTTTAAACTTTCTAAGCGGCATTTTGTTGATTACATAAATACGTAACTTGGCCCCCATTTAAGCAAGTTCGTATCTCATACAAGACCTCAATGGTGACGGTTGACCGTGAAACACCCTGTATATAGAGAAGTCTCAGGACATCCCCTGTATCAGCCACTGGCACTGAAAAATCATAATTCAGAAAATTTCCTCGCATCCACTCGAAAAGACATTCTGATTCTACTTTTAGCATAAGCTTATTTATAACGGAGCAGTTATAAGGAATCTGCATGTTGTCATGCCTAAAATTGAGTCAAAATTGAAGAATTTTTACCAAACAAATGCTAAAAATGCATGCAAATTATTTCGCTTAGGATAATATCATTACTGTTTTTTCGGAGCTGCAATGTTAAATCGCTTATGTCTCGAAATATATCAAGTCTAGAGAAAAGATCATAAGAAACTTTTCTGTTTACGAAGAACTTTGCTCGGAGGGACGCAATTTTGAGACCGACAATAAGCAGTTTCGTTAAAAGGGGTCGTTTTCGAATAACATAATTCAAAAAACTAGGTCGGAATATTTTTCTGAGCGGTATTGATGCGTTGAAGTTTCGTGGAAGATAGTGTATATGTTATTTGTTAATTGCATCTGCAACCTTATCCTTTTTTTCAACCCTTTTTCCTCGAATTATTTTTTTATGCTACTTAATACTGATATTGTAGAAAAAGGATACTAGTGTATGTATAAGAACGTGCCTACGGTGTTGCCTCTTTGATGCAGATGAAAAAGTCATTATATCAAATGTCCTCTGAAATTAGATTTCTTACAAAGATAATTCTGATTCTATTGATTTATTATTTATGATGTCTAAATTCGTATCTTTATGCTAACGATACACATGCTTTTGGAAAATGTAAATCATTTATGTTACATCTAACATTATTATATTTTGCGTATGTTTATGAGAGTATACTGCTAGATATCTACCCATATAAGTTTTCTGGACATCATATAGTTCAAAGCTTTGATAAACTCATGTCTGCAGTTGTACCACAGATCCATGCTGCATCAACTCAGTAGGTCAAGGCTGGTTTTCTGAATGATTGTTATTTCTAAGCCAAATTCCTTGTCGTGGAGACGTTATCTACTAACAACTATAGTAGTAATTTTTAGATCAAAATACATACAACACACATATTTTGTGTTTTATTTTTTTTAACTATCACCATCTTCATCCATATGTACGGCATTATTTTGTATTAAAGATATGCTGATAATGCGATTGATATAGTTAGATCTGCCTAAGAACCAAACATCTGGCAACACGTTCTACGAAGGAGTGAACCACATGAAAGCATTATTTTTATCTGAATATTGCCAAGGCGAACTTAACATTTTACAAAGGTTGCAGTAACTTTCACGAGTAACGGCCATACCTAACAACCAGTCGAGCCGCTTGAAAGGATTTTCTTTCAGGCTGATTCACATTATCGGACGCTGCATGAAACACTACGATAGTTATTCTGAAACTGGATGGTGAATATAATACGATTAAAACATTACTTAACTGAGGAGCTCGCATATGCTTAGATATTGTAGTGACCAGATAGACCGTAGACTCTGTAGAGGATGAACGTCTATTACTGCGGTCCTTCTTCAGAGTGGTTAGCACTTCGCCAACCACCTATGTTTACAACTCTATACGTGCCGACCTACCGGCTTTAGGTGCCAGCGTTGCCACCTCTATGATTGTTTCCACATGTTAAGGGATTTCCTTTCCGTCGTTAAGAAATTCTGAGAATGCGAAGTGATAATGACGACCTAGGTTAAGGTGTTGTCTGTCCTTGATCGATGCTTAAGAATAAACAACATGGAGTATAACATTCATTGACTCGGCGTTCTCCGGCATTCAACACTTGTAAATAGTAGTTTGGGAATTTACTACTCCGTAATGGAGCGTGCGCAGCTCCCGTCACATGTTCGTCCCCCTTTATGTGTGTGAATAAGTTTTTGCGCAGATTCCTTCTCTAAAGCTAAAGCTTTCAAAATAAAAAGATGATATCGAAGAAGGCAGAGAGCACTAAAAGAAGTGTTTGTACGTCTGCAATTTTTGTCGCTAAGGGTTTAAAACCTATGTGTCTGTTTTAAATGTATTCTGCACCCTTGCTTAACAATAAAATCCTTACCGATTATTGATAATGTCTACTAGAGTCAAGATTGGGCATCTAATTTTCCACTCAGGGATATGTAAGGTTTTTGTGAATTACTTTTTTTAATAATACTTTCCAGCTATAATTTATGAATGTATGAAGTATTTGATGCTAATCATTATGCAGTAAAAGTGTTTTCTGCTTTTGAAACATACTTGTTGTCATTTTTTGAAAAAAGATTTGCTGTTTTTGAAAATATTTCCAGTGGCGACAGCATGAAGGGCAAAAACAAAAAAAAAATAAAATCGCTCAAACTTTGTTTTTTGACAGTTCAAAGCATCCTGAGCAGTTCCAGAAAAAAATTGTAGGTGTAGTATATTTATACACCTATATCCCCAGTAATTTTACGCACCTATTTGTAATTAGTATATACTTGATAAATAATAGATTCGCTCGTACGTTTGCCTTAAGAACTAGAGAAACAGTTCTTAGTCGCGATACGCGGTCGTTCTGAACGAAAGCAACCTTCATGCGACAGATTCTGTGTTCGTCTGATTACATCGCCGGCGTTGTGGATCTGGCTTTATAGTGGCTTATTAGATCGATTTTTTTGTTATAATGATTGTAGCTAGTTCAGAGGGACTAACTTGTGCCGGAGAATCATCATTCTTGACGTCGCCATTTTTTTAATTGGTGAGAAAGTGGGGGTCTGCTTTTGGGTTCTCTATTAAACGTCAATATCTGTTACTTAAGGTACAGTAAAAACAACGCTAAACAATGACGATATCTAAATTCGATGAAATCGCATTCATACTTAGTATGTATCTCTTAAAATAGCTCGACGATTAATGGGCGTCTCAGTCTAGGTATGTAACGTACGGGGACGCCAAGAAAAACAAAACCTGAAGTATACAGGATGTTAGGGAAATAACATTCGTAACTTCAATCCATCCCCGGTAATTTTACGCACCTATTTGTAATTAGTATATACTTGATAGGAACTAGAGAAATAGTTTTTAGTCGCGATACGCGGTCGTTCGGAACGAAAGCAACCTTCATGCGACAGACTCTGTGTTCGTCTGATTACATCGCCGGCGTTGTGGATCTGGCTGTATAGTGGCTTATTAGATCGATTTTTTTGTTATAATGATTGTAGCTAGTTCAGAGGGACTAACTTGTGCCGGAGAATCATCATTCTTGACGTCGCCATTTTTTTAATTGGTTAGAAAGTGGGGGTCTGCTTTTGGGTTCTCTATTAAACGTCAATATCTGTTACTTAAGGTACAGTAAAAACAACGCTAAACAATGACGATATCTAAATTTGATGAAATCGCATTCATACTTAGTATGTATCTCTTAAAATAGCTCGACGAATAATGGGCGTCTCAGTCTAGGTATGTAACGTACGGGGACGCCAAGAAAAACAAAACCTGAAGTATACAGGATGTTAGGGAAATAACATTCGTAACTTTAAGAAGTGATTCATTGCATTAATCTAAGCAAAAAAGTTCATTATAACCTATTAATTTTGCACCTTAATAATTTAAATTCATTTGCCTAACAGCGTAAAATGTATCAATACATCTATTTATTAATTAACTGTCTCTAAAAAAATCATTTTCTTGCTTTTTAAATACAATTTTCCGAATAAAAACAGACAAACAAAATCCCTCACACAACTGGCAACGTCGTACTCCGCCTGCACTGCATGTATCAACCCGTGTTGTTCTGATTACTAATACATTTAACAGTCGCTTTATGTGATTTACGGATGTAGGTTTTTTTTTCATGCATCGCATCGTTTCAAATAAGTGACTGATAATCGTGGGAATTGGTGGTGTGTATCGCCACGTACCGGTAAGTTCTGTCATTTTTTTTAAGTAAATTTACTGTACTGAAAGCATTATTAAATAAGAAATATTAGCCACAAAAAATTGCGTAAAATATTCAATAATTCAAGGCATATTGTCAACAAAAATATACAAACGTAAGCAATTCGATGAATCAGTTGTGGTCGTCGAGGCGGTTGCGTTACAGCGTTGCCAAATGTTTGAGAAAATTTAATTATTCACGACTCACTTTCCTCGAAAACGATTGATTTTCAGACATAAGTTATAATGAACTTTATTGCTTAGAATAATGCAAGGAATCACCACCTAAAGTTACGAATAGTATTTCTCTAACAACCTGTATACTTGGTATTACTTCATGAATGTTTATATCCGTTGCATCTTTCAGACATTTTAAAATATTCAGCTAGTCGATCTGTGATGTGATACCTAATCGGTACAAATCTTCAAGAAAGTGGAAAAACTACAACATCCTGTAGAGTCACTCTGCCAAAACGACATGCGGTAACACCTTGCATTGAAATAAATTAGAAAAAGTATCCGCTAAAATGCGTCTAGAGTTACGGAATTCTAATTTATGTCTACAATATAAATTAATTAGCGGGGCAATAATATCAAACATGTGTGCATGCAACCTTCAAATATTCTTACACAGGGTGAGCTTTTAGTGTGTAATCGGCCGATAGATCCGGCTATCATATATTATATATAAAATACGTCTGAAAAGGTTGAATACAAAAACTATAGGCAAATATAATATGCTCTTTACTTGGGAAAGATACAGCTGCTTCTAGAGTTATAGGATAATTTATCTGAAAAAGAAAAACAACGTTTGGCGGCCTATAAGTCAGTCACTTCTGCAGATGGAGTAGCAAACTTTTCGTTATAATGAGCTTAATATCCTATAGCTTTTCTTCATTCATACGAAAATGAACATTATCTCAAAACATTTTTACGATTTTGGGCGGTTCTTCTAAGCTGTATTTTTGTATAATACTTTTGAATCTTAAATTAGTAAATTACTAGTAATTCGTGCTTTTCCATCAGAAATTGCAGCATAAATATATACCACATGATTCGTGAGAAGGGAGGATTTTTAGTGATTGGGTAGAAGCTTTCTCCGAATAATGCGCTCCATTTCCGTGAATAATGCGATTTACTCCAATAATTTAGTAATGCAACCCTTCTAAAGTTTTATACCAGAATAAGGTTCATAAAAAGGATCGTAAACATGTATGTTTAGGGTGCTTCACAAGAACTTTCTGTGAATAGGTATCTACACTTTGCATTTATAAAGTTCATTTTGGTGAAAACTGAGTGCCTTTTCGGGCAAATTATCCCGTAACTCCAGAAATAGAGATTCGAAACCTACACTATATGAAACTTTCTGTTTCGAAAAGTCTTTCCAGACTATACTAAAATATGCAGGGTTTTCCTTTTTAAAAATAAATGTGTTGTCACTTAGTTATGAATCACCCTGAACAGAGCGGCATATCTTCCAAGTTTTTAATAATCAATAGATGTATGTGTTATTAATAGGAAAACACCTAAATATCAATCAATCAAGTGCAAAAACTGGCTGGGAATATCTACAGCGGAGAACTTACGATGTCTGTAACTTTCTTACAATATGCTATATTAGCATGATGTCTTGCTTATCAAGACAAGAATTACCAGTTTCAAAATTTTCTAAACGGTATGTACGTTTAACGTTCGATTTATTAGTAAACAAGTACACTGAGGTCAGTGCTCTGCAAGTAAACGGTGACAATGTTTTGACCAGATTTTCTGGGAACTATTATATCCGCCTTCATCGTACATACATTTTTAAACGTAATAAAAGTATTACCAAGAATTAAAAAAATAAGTTATTTCGTAACCGTGTCGAACTTCGTATATCCAGAACTGGCCGATACTACCGATCCTTTGACCCTAGGGCTTCGAGATTGTGGAACAATTTATCTCCGGAGGCTTTTCCTAGTACTACTAACCTTAGCCAGTTCAAAAACCGGATGAACAAAGTTTCTCTTAGCTCCTCATAGCAGCCGCGGTATTTAGGCTTCTACCATTGCGGCTGCCGCATTAAATGCTGAATCATTTCATGAAATGGGAAATTTTACAATGTGACCACGACGTATACAGGGTGTCCCAGAAGTCGACGTCAAGCTGAAACCGGGTGATAGGCAAAGTCATAACAGCTATCAGAAAAATATTTAAATAAATTTTATGTATGTGTTTTGAAAATTATAGGTCTTTGAAAAAAATATAGAAATTTTACACCCTAGGGCAGTCTGTCAACTCCTGTTACTACAAATAGTAACTTTTTTTGGATTTTTACAATGTAATGATGAATAATGCATCTTCAAACTGGTGTCTCAACCTTACTGCCAAATTTTCTCGTTCAGGAAAAATTGCCACTTATTTCAAAACCAAGTATTCCAAAGTAAAACTTTGCTCAACTTTAACTGGCTGTACTGGAAAAAAATGTACTACGAGAGTTTGGCAAGTAACCTTAAAAGTTGGCGCCTTTAATAACGATTCCAAAATGGTATAACACTTAGAAGATTACTCGTTAACTTATGCACAATTTTTATTTGAAGAAAAGCTGATGAACATTTTTCAAAATTTCCTAATTAAACAGCGATTATGAAAACGCACAAGGAACCTTGAGGATAACTGTTTGTACAACAGTGGGCGTCAAAATGCTGCTGATGATGATTTACCTTTACAGCAAATGCTCAAACTGTTTTCCTTCAGCCGCAATACACGCTCGACAAAAAAAATCTAACGGATTCAAATCTGGTGACCGGGCTGGCCACGGTATTGTACCAGACCGCCCTATCCATCTGCCTGGAAAGTTTTGATCGAGATACTCTCTCACTGAGAGTGCATAGTGCGCTGGGCAGCCATCATGCTGAAACCACATGTCCCTGTAAATACTCAGTAGCACGTCCTCCAATAAATTTTCTAAATGATTTTGCAAAAAACCTAAATAAACCTCAGCAGTCAAAGTCTCTGGGAACTCAAACGGACCGATTATTTTACCATTTAAAATTCCTGTCCAATGGTTTATCTTGAAGCGATATTGAGATTTATCTTCTCTCATCAAATGTGGGTTTGCTACGTGCCACTCGTGTAAGTTATGCAGGTTCATGAACCCATCTTTCTTAAATGTGGTCTCATCTGACCATAAAATTTTTTCAAAGAACCATGGATCTTTCCTGTGTCTTTCTAACATTGTGCGACAAAAAGCAACTCGGAGCTCATAATCCCGGGGCAGAAAAGCTTGAACACGCTGTACGTGGTATGGATGAAGCAAGCCGATTCAAAATGTAGCTGAGCTACGGCAAACACTATTGGAAGCAGCTGAGTTTGTTAATAACCGTGGATTCGCTCGTTTAATAACCCGATCTTTTTTAAGAAGATGTCGAGCGTGTATTGCGGCTGAAGGAAAACAGTTTGAGCATTTGCTGTAAAGGTAAATCATCATCAGCAGCATTTTTACGCCCACTGTTGTGCAAACAGTTATCCTTAAGGGTTCTTGTGCGTTTTCATAATCGCTGTTTAATTAGGAAATTTTTAAAAATTTTCATCAGTTTTTTTTCAAATAAAAATTGCGCGTAAGTTAACGAGTAATCTTCTAAGTGTTATACCATTTTGGAATCGTTATTAAAGGCGCCAACTTTTAAGGTTACTTGCCAAACTCTCGTAGTACATTTTTTTCCAGTACAGCCAGTTAAAGTTGAGCAAAGTTTTACTTTGGAATACTTGGTTGGGAAATAAGTGGCAATTTTTCCTGAACGAGAAAAGTTGGCAGTAAGGTTGAGACACCAGTTTGAAGATGCATTATTCATCATTACATTGTAAAAATAAAATCCAAAAAAAGTTAATATTTGTAGTAACAGGAGTTGACAGACTGCCGTAGGGTGTGAAATTTCAATATCTTTTTCAAAGACCTATAATTTTCAAAACACATACCTAAAATTTTTTTAAATATTTTTCTGATAGCTGTTATGACTTTGCCTATCACCCGGTTTCGGCTTGACGTCGACTTCTGGGACACCCTGTATAAGAGCATATCCCAAACTTCGCATGTACTTACGTAAGTTCATTACGAAGTCTTACGGACTCGGGAAGAACTTCTGATACCTACCTGTGCAGTCTGATATGTTCTTACATATTCTCATCTTTCAGATTCAGCAAAATGCTTCAACAAATCCTTCGTGACATGTACGTGGATCCAGAGATCCTCGCAGAACTGGACGAGAATCAAAAGCAAACGTTGTTCTGCAAGATGAGAGAAGAGCAAGTTCGGCGTTGGAAAGCATGGAATGACAAGGTAGAGGACGAGAAAGAAATAAAGAGAAATACGAAAAACAAAAATGTCAGTTTCATGCAAGGTGAAGATGGTGAACCTTGGGTATGGGTGATGGGAGAGCACCAGGATGATCAGACTATTGAAGAAATTCTTCGCGAAGAGGCCATAGAAAAAGCCAGACAACTGGCAGAGAAAGAAACTGATGAGTTGAGGAGACGAATGGAATCTGAAATCATTTCTGACTATATAGAATTAACTCCGAAAATAGAAAAGATCCAATCCGCCTCGGAGATAGTGGAGGACGATATGGATATCTACTGTTCTGTGGAGGAAATACAGAAAAAGATTCACAGTAAACCGCCTTCAATCAATAACTATACATTTGATCATTATCAGAATAAGACTAATAAGTATTCCATAGAAGAGAAAGTTTTGCAAGATAACTCGATGAATAATGCCCAAAAGGTTGCACACCGAGTAGCCTTGTGGGAAAAAAGACTGAATGAGAGGACCTGCGAGATCTTCCAGAATATCCAGAAAAAACAACAACTAGTTGCGAAAGAGGCGGAGGAAGAAGAAAAGAAGAAAGAGCAGCTTTGGTTAGAGCAAGGTGAGCTACATAATAAAATTATATAAAATATTAAGGTGGAAAGAACATTTTCCTACTTAACATCATCTTTGTTTGGTAAATTCCGAAAATGGTATCGAAAAAATTCATCAAAGTGTTGAAAATAGATCATCTTATATGTATAATTTCTCCAGTCGGATATCTGGGACTACCGTCATGATATTTTCCATTTTTCATGAAAAGGCTAGAATCCATACACTTTTACTCATCCTCGTGTTTCTCATAATCGCTGAGCACTGTTCAATGGACTATACCGTCTTGAATATTCGTAAGAATAAAACCTTTGCTTTTATTTTTTGTTTATTTCTAATTTTGATATGCAACGTTGTTGCAGCATTTTGTCATTGGCCTTTGGTAAAATATGCGGTAGTGTTACAAATTCGAAGCCATTAGTGATGGACCTTACTTTGGACAGTTTCATGATTTGGTATTTTCTGTTTCAGAAAGGAAAGCAAAGCAAGCTGAACAAAAAATTAGAGAAATCGCTAGGAGAGCTCGAGAAGAACACAGACTGACATCTAACTTTGAAATCGATACCGCTTATGGTACAGTGAATTCAGGAGCACCACCTGGTCGAAATGCGGTCCAAGAGTGGTACAGAGAAAAAGAAGTTGTTAGATCTGCAACTTTAAATTCATCGAATAAAGTTGAACCGTGGTTCCATGGTAAATATTCCTGAAACAACTTTATTTATCTGTTAATTCATTATACCTTTATTTGTGCATCAAAGCGTTTCGAGTAAATGTCAGCTGTAAGGATAATGCACTGCATGTATTATCTGACCGAGTCAGTCTACTTGCTTTTTAAAAAGATTTATTCTCGATTATCAAAATACAATTCTATTGATGTATATAGTATGAGCGCTAACAACAGTCTGACTAACTGTGAATACAATAAAATAAGACTGGATAAGGCAAAGCGCTGATCCAGGGAAACTCGATCCTCTTCTTTAGTGGTAGGGGTAAATCTTCTGTAGTATAACGCCCCCCCTTGTAGATGCAACTTCGAGGGTTAACGAGGAAGTTGCACATTGGAAAGATCAACTTCTTCAATAGGGGTTCTTTGTGGTTTTTTCGGCTTAGTAAAAATCTTCGGAATGATCTTCTTGTAGACAAAACAGCAAAGTAGCAGCAGCAGTACTCCATACAACAGGATTGTCCAAGAACTGGGAATTTGCGACACCTTATGTGATTGGATGTCAACACGATTTTCTATTAATCTTCTTTTTACTTTTTCATCAAATTCTATTTGGTTCAGATGAAGGCTGAAGTCATTAGGCTTGGTAGCAATTGAAGTATTGGTATCGATACTTGGAAAAATAATTGGCTGACTTCCAATCGATAAAGGCTCTTGATTGGCGATCAGGTCTTGATTTAGTTCCAGTGTACAATCGACTGGAATTTTGGCTAAATAGGATCCCAAAACTTTGACTGTTTCTTGGCCTTCTTGACAGCTTAATGTAATGGTGGTTTCATTGGGTATAAGCAAGATGCATTGTCCAAAATCATGCAGTTTCTTCATTACTGGCTCTGTGATTACAGCTTCTACTTCTCGGCAGGTAGTGGGAGTTTTTTGTTCTAGGAGTTGAACTTCACAGGGATTGGATTCTTTGATTCTTCTTAAATCTAGTTCCTTGCAAATGTACTGTTTTGCGACCGTTCCGTGCGTGCGTCTCCCGCAAAAGCGAAGTACAACTCATTCTTTACAAGATATTTTCCAGAAGGGATGACTACTTTGAACAGACCCTTATGAAAGGTTGGAATTGAATATAAGTGATAATAATCAAATTGGAATGTATGAATAATTGCAATTTGAAGAATGTATGTTATTTTTCTATCAACTGTATAACATCTGATTTTAATGAGCTTTTCAAAAATTGGAATATTATCCAAAGTAACTTCTAAAGGGAGTTGCTTTGTGGATAGTTTTAATACCACTGAATTTAGTGCTTGAAGTAAATGTTCTGGTTTTATTACACTGGGGTGCATAATTCCCAATTTTGCAAAAGTAAGTTTTCTATATCCTGGAGTACTGAAATTATGATATTTCTTTTATATACTCGAACTACCACGAAGGCCTAAGGCCTAAGCACCCATTGGTACCGTGGGGCTATAGGGAGATACATGGGAAAGGGGGAACGCCACACGGACTCTGGCGAGGGAACACGTGTGCATGCAACATGCACACATTCTGGCTCCGCCTACGAGATCCGCCGGGTGGTACCTCCGCGTTCGACAGTCAGAGACCATCTACCACCTACGGACAATCACAACAGCCATAGCCAAGAGAAAAATTTCTCCTGGGACGGGACTCAAACCCGCACAGCGCACGGCGACTGCGGTATATGATAGATATTCATGATCTCTGAGATTGTATCTCTCAAGAATATGCCATTTTCTATGTAGGCTTGAGTGTTAATCATAGCTGTTGAAAGCTGATTTATTTTAGCTTCCTATTGGTTATGAGTAATCTGACTTACAGTTTTATTGAAATTATCGATAAGTTCGACAGATAAGGTATTCTGACCATTGATAGCTTCTGATAACTTTTTTTGATTATTCTGCAAATCGCTTATTAGAGACTCGAATTTTTCACCATCTGAAGCATCCAGGTTTCCTGAGATTGCTTTGAAAATTGAACCTAAGCTGTTTATTAATCCCTTTTTTATTCTAACGGAGAATAATGGAACAGTTTCGTAAGTAGAGGGAAAAATGTCATTTAGCTTTCCGTCTACTTTTCTTTCTAAGAAATACAAAACATTGAGGTAATTTTCTGAGTGTTTATAGTGCTCAATATATTTCCTGGATAATTTCGCAACATTGTCGGTTTTTTTCTTAAGGTCATTAACTTCAGTGATTATTAAATTGACGTCGTAAAAATACAGTATTGAGTGACAATTTTTTGTGATTTTGGCAGTCCCTAATTTCATGGGTATCAATCCTAGGTTGTTTTCTAAATTCTTCAACGTTATCTTACCATGGATTCCTATGATTCCTGGGAACCTGTAAAATAATATATTCGAAAGAAAATCTTATTTTTAGCGTGCAATTAAGAATAAAGTAAACGTAGATTACATACATAGCTTCTTATCTAATTGCTCGAGGCTTAGTCAAACGCATAAAGTTTGCGTAGCGGACGTTTCAAATTACTTATATGCACTTTTCCGTGCTGGTCCGTCGTGACGGTCTTTTTCTCCGTATTAACACTTTGTAGTCTACACGGCTTTGAGAATTTGCTGGCGTGCTTTTTTCTAACATGCTTTTTGACGTATACTGTTTCTCGGTTATCAAGTATAGTCGGACTATCGCAATCTCTGTTACCGCGTTCTAGCGTTTTCTCTTTGTTTTGAATGAGATCAGAATTTATTTTTGAATACAATAGTTTTGTACGCTCTTTGTGGCTGTTGGTATAGTCATTGAGGAGTAATTGGTCGATTTTGATATCGAATGGTTCATTTGACGTAATATGTCCATTGATTATATCTATAGGCTTTAATTTTGTGACAGAATGTAAGGTGTGGTTGTAGGCTAAAATGGCATACAATATTTTCATTTTTATAGGGGTTTTCTGAAAGCCTTCTGCGTTCAACAATCTTAAATGTTCGATAATAGTTGAATGAAATCGTTCAACGACTCCATTAGAATCTGGATGATTTGGCGAAATAAAATGAAGCTTAATTTTATGAAGTGACAAAAGTTCAGTTACAACGGTATTTTTGAATTCAGTGCCATTATCTGCGATAATTCGGGTAGGAATTCCATGATGAGAAAAGAATAATCTCAGATTATCAGCAATTTCAGTGCCTGAAAGCGAAGTAATCTGATGTGCTTGAGCATATTTAGAAAAACTGTCTATAATTGTGAGAAATTTTGAACCTTCAAAAGTGAAAGTATCGATATGTACGATTTCAAAAGGTTTTGATGCAGTGGGGGCGAGATTCATCGCAATTTTTATCGGATGACGCTCATATTTACATTGTTGACAAATTTCACATTCATTTATAAATGTTTGAATCGATTTTTTCAAGTTAGGCCAAAAATATTTTTCTTTTATTCTCTGAAGCGTTTCCTCAATTCCACGATGATTCGACTTGCTTTCGTGGTAATTCCGGATAATGTCCTTGATACCAGTTTTATCTGTAACGTAGACTAATTTGGTTCTACACATTTTGAATTTCAAAGCATCGGACTTAAACATCCTTTGTAGAACGACAGACAATTTTTCATATATATCTGGATTTTCAAAGTATAAGTGGTAAATGACGTTAGGAGCAATATAATCTGGAATAAATTTAAATACATCACCGTCAAAATCATTTTCTGAAAATTGTACGTTAATTCGTTGCTTGCTTTCAAATAAAATAGAAATTTTTGGTGGTGCAGGTGAATGTTTTACTGTACTTACGATAATCTGATTATTTCTCTCATTAACTGCGTAATCAACTATAGAAATTGTCTGAATGGGGTGTTGGTCCGCATTTGAATGTACAGTTTCGTCTGGATTTTCAGGACAATTATTTTGATATTTTAGATTGACTTGTTCATGTTCAATGATATCTACAATTTCGTCTGGGGGTTGAATAAAAAGACTGTCTTCGTCATTATCGACGTTTACGAACATAGATTCGGTATCAGGTTGTTTTGGGGTAGAAAAGTTAAATGTAGGTGTACTTAATTCAGATGAGCATTTCTGAACTGATCGGTCAAACTTAACGTTTTGGTGTTGAGTACCCGCGCATTTTTGAATCAAATCATCTAAGTCGTTCCAAAATGAACTGGTTTCTTTTGTATGGATCTCTACACGAGACAGGGCTTCTGCATTGGTATGCAGTTTGCCTTTCTTATAGACGATATTCATATCATACCCGTCTAACCTGATTTTCCATCTTAGTAATTTTGAAGAAGGGTCTCGAAGGGACCATAAGTATTTTAAGGGCATATGATCAGTAATTAGATTGAATTTTCTCCCGTAAAGATAGGGTCGAAAGTATTTAGTCGCCCAGACTATTGCTAGTAATTTTTTCTCAATCGTACTATAATTTCGTTCGGAATCATTAAGCGTGCGCGAAGCATAGGCGATAGGAAGATCCTGTCATATAGGGCCTTGTGAAAGTACACAACCAAGGGCTACGTTGCTCGCATCCGTGGTTAAGTTAAATGGCTTAGAAAAGTCTGGATACTTGAGTATCGGTTCATTCATAAGAACATTTTTACATTTTTCGAAACAGTCAATAAATTCAGCATCGTGTTCAATTTTGGCTCCCTTTTTTAGACATTTAGTTAGAGGCTTTGTGAGTTTCGCAAAATCTTTAATAAAACGTCTATAGTAACCAATAAGTCCGAGAAAGCGTTTAATCTGCTTAGTCGTTTTTGGAATCGGAAATTTTTGGATGGCAGAATTTTATCTGGATTTGGCTTAACGCCGTCCGAGATAAGCTACTTCTTTACGAAGGAATTATGATTTGTCGAGCTGTATTTTGAATTTTGAATTTCTGAGTCGTTGGAAAACTGACCTTAAATTTTCAATATGTTCTTGAAGGGATGTAGAAAAAATTATAATGTCGTCGAGATATACGAGACATTTCTCTCTAAAATATTATCCATGACGCGTTGGAATGTGGCGGGCAGTTTTTTCTATGTCTGTTTCCTCCATCTCGATTTGATGG